CGGATCTTCCTTTCGACTTCTTCTACTCCTACTCCGAGACCAATCCGTCAGTTGAGCCTATAGGCTTCCGAGAATCGCCGAAGTTCTCACCGTTTGGCCCGGGCCGGCTCGACCGGAAATGGAGCGGCACTTCGGCCCCTGCGGGGATGGAAGTGAAGATACGTGAAGTTTCGGAGGAGAGGAATCGGATTCTTGGAGACCCACTTTCGGAGGAGGAAGTTGCAGAGCTTGTGGAAGAGTATCGGCATGACAATTGCTCCCGGCAAATAAATCTTGGTAATAACACTAGAGATTCAAAACCGTTTCTGAAGAGTTATATTTTTCTTGTGTATTCCGGTTGTTACTGAAAATGCAAGATTGATTCTATCATGCCATGAAAACTTGAATTCATGTTAATGGGGGAAAATTGGCTGGTAGTTCAAGTTGTATTGTTGAATCCCTTCTACTGATATACTTGCATTTCTTATGCACATTCTATGGTGTATTTGTCTTTGACATGATCGTACTGACTATAGCTCAGAACTTTCTTTGAGCTTGCATTATTCATTCTATAATATTTGTTTTTCTTTGTGATGATCATAATGCCTATAGCTGAGTAAAAATGAATGAAGGGTTTGACAGATTTTGCATTTTACTTAACTAGGAAAGGGGGGAGTTACTCACAACATGTTGGATGACATACATAACCACTGGAAAAGGGCTGAAGCTGTGAGGATCAAGTGCTTGGGAGTGCCAACTCTTGATATGGACAATATATGTTTCCACCTTGAGGTTTGAACTACAACCATTCTTCATGTATCCACAACATACCATTTTCTTGTTTTTTTTTTGTTTTTTTTGTTTTTTGGTCTTTAAGATCAACTTTCACTAGGAAATTACCTGACGTGCACTATAGTTTCTCTCTAGGACAAGTCGGGTGGGAAGATAATATATCGACATATCAATGTCCTTCTTTTATACCGTGGTCGAAACTATGATCCCAAGAATCGACCAGCTATCCCTCTTATGTTGTGGAAACCTTATGCGCCAATATATCCAAAGCTTGTGAAGAATGTGGCTGATGGCTTATCATTTGAGGAAACGAAGGAAATGAGAAGTAGAGGATTGAATTCTCCTCCTCTAATGAAACTTAGTAAGTGAATGTTGTTCCAATGAGCTATCCATTCTTCTTTGTTTTAGGTCAAATTGCATTTTTAATCTATATGCTTTAATGTTACAATACATGGGTCGATCTTAAGGTATTATTTTGGTTGAAAAGCAAAAAAGAGGAGGCTGTGGCTAGCCAACCTTTATTTTATGTACAAATTATGTATGCGTTTGAGAGATGAATGGTAAAGATGGTGTTTGTAGTTTTTATTAACCTGAACTTTCACCTTCGGATGTATTTTCTGTAGCAAGGAATGGTGTATATGTTAACGTCGTCGAGAGAGTGAGAGAGGCTTTCGAGTTCGAGGATGTGGTTAGACTAGATTGCACTCATGTTGGCAGCAGTGACTGCAAACAAATAGGTGTTAAATTGAGGGTACAGCTCTTCTCTTCCACTTTTCTTTTGTAATTCTCRTACTTTTAATGCCAAGAAGTTTGTTTCTTATCTATAAGATACTTCCTCTACCAAAAATCCAGGGTTTGGTACCTTGTGTTCCCATTTTGTTCAAGGATGAGCAGATTATACTGTGGAGAGGGAAGAAAGATCATCGAGAGGACGTGAACTCGAAGATGGTAGATTCCTGGAATGTGTATGTTTAACTTGCAGTATCTTGGTACAGATGATGAGGATGGTTTTTCTTCGAGGACGATCAATTTATACATTGTACCTACTGATTTTGTTCGAGGRTGAGCAGACAGATTAAATTGTGGAGAGGGAGAGAGATCGTGAAGAGAACGTGAACTCGAAGACGGTGGATGTCGATAGAACATGGAGAGGAAATGTAAACTATAATGGTGCTCAAATCTTGAATGAGCTTTGGGGATTTGTTGATTCTCATTCCTCAAACTCTCCTGGATGTGTTGTGTAGTCTTCTTGAATATCTGCAATGAATCTAAACTTTAATATCTATGGTTAATACCATGGTGATATATGGTATCAAATCTTGAGACAGCTTGGAAAGAGAGCAGTAACGATAATTGATTTTCTATAATATATTCTATATATTGAGTTTTAGTCAAATCACACTCACTATTTACACTGGATCAAAGAGGAGCTTCATCTAGAGCAGAATGGATAGAGCAGAATGGATAGACTATGTTAAAACTTAAAAGAGATCCTAAGGTGCCATTAGAACTTCTTCACTTGATGGTTCTTCTCAGCAACACAACCAGAGCCCACCAGTGAGGTTATCCATGCTTCATCAGACTYAACTGGTTCATCATCATCATTTCTATGCCAACTCCAAAAGGCATGAGTGGAGTTTGCTATCTTGAGTTCCCCGTGACCGAAACTAGCCTCCCGAAATATCGACCACTCCGGCTGTGGGTCGTACCTAGCAAATTACAAGCAAAAGAATTAAGATTTCAAGCACCCATAAACATCTTCATCTCTAACTTTCTCTTTAACATCTTCTGTCATTTTGATAAGAAATTAAATTTTCGTAGTKCTACTAAAATGAATGAATGAAAATCGATTATAAATCGTAGAATTATAGTGATTCTGTACTTGTGAGCTAAACCTTCTCGGTTTCCTCCATCGCCAATAGTTATATGCACAGCACCACAAGGATCAGATTTTCCAGCATTCACACGTTTCTGCCATAGAGTGAATATGAATCACAAGATGCTTTAGGAGAAAATGGAAYCACCAAATATTCAAATGGGACCAAAAGAATATACCGAGCGTTCATAGGCATGGACATGGCCAGTGATTATTATGTCTGCACCAGCTGCGTATAACAATGGCTCCATGGCTGCCATCATACCTGCACCTTCACCTTGATGAGCTTTATTGCTATTGTACCATGGCACATGGAATAGCACTACCAGCCAAGGTGTTCTTTCCCTGTCCACCTTTGCAAGATCAGCCTATTGAACAACAAAATTTCTCAGGTCTCTAGCTGAATGATTCTCATAAACAATTTATTCAAGGAAGGGATTCGTGGTAGCAGATGGAATCGAGAGGATGACATGTTCACTCGAATGGCCAAATCCAACGGCACTAGTTTAGTTATACACATCCAGACTTGGATTGTTATTCAATATTATTCATATAGTCACGTTAAAAAAGTTGAGCGAGCTTATGCACATCTCCACTAATCTTATGCCACACCCACAATATTTAGTCATCAAGAAAATTTTTGGTAGGATTTTTATATCTTAGGCACTAAACGTATTCTCACTTCTCAGTAATTATTTAAGTATAATTGAACTATTTGCTCCTGTACTCCAAAAGAGAAACAAAGTTTTGCTCTAAACTAATTGCAAAAACCCCACCTAAATAGTTATTTCAATAGAACRAAACTATTCTCTCTTAACTAATCATACTCTCTCTCTCTCTCTCTCTGAATATTTATTATCAGCAAGTAAGATTACTTCTTAAGAAAAAAGTTAAATGTTCACAAACCTTCAACCATGCGTATTGATCTGAGGACTCATCATAATCAGTGTACGATCCAAGCATAATCACATGAGTTCCAGTGACTTCAAAAGAATAATAGAGATTTGAACTTGATCCACTCTCCTCAAATGGCATCTTCCATCTTGCATTATAGGAGTCAAATGGAGCCTTCAACATGACTATGTTCTCCTTTTCATGGTTCCCTTCAGTCACCATCCATGGCCTTGCACTCGCAAGCCGCTCCACAAGCCTACCAAATGAGTCCCACCGAAACTGCAAGTAATCAGCATATGATAGGTCACCTGGAAGCAGATGCACATCATATTTGCACAGATCAATGTGGTCTAATGTTGATTTGGTCCATCCAGTTTGACCCAGATCCCCAGCCACTGAAAAAGTAATTGGAAACTGGGAAGGAGGTGTCTTCAGCTGAAACTCAGAACCTTCCCCTCCACATCGGTAGAAATAAACTTTGCCAGCCTCAAGAGGCCCAATTACTGTATGGTGTATCTTTCCTGACTTATACAGAATATAAGTATATGAGGTGCTCTCTCCTTGTGAAACAGAAGTATATTCTCCAGATGATGTTCCATATTCAACATAAGAGGGAGCAGAATGATCATTAGTAATCCATGTAACTCTCATATGCTTATCCCCCGCCAGGGAGATATGCACCTGCCAGGAATCAGCAATACATCATGCAAAGGAAACTCAAACGTGCAAACAATGATGAAGAAAACGTTCGTTAAATTACCATCTAACCCAAAAATTTATACCATTAGATTAGAATATATTTAATTATTGATTTATATTCTTAACACAAACACACTCTCATTTCTGGACTTGAAAATTAGCACAAACCCTAACAAGTGATTACAATATTAATCAGGGAAAAATAGCATTACGTGAGTTCAAACATAGTGACTCTAACTTTGATACCATGCTAAATCACCACTAAACTCGAGCAGTTATGTTATATTTAATCATTTATTTATATTCTTAATACTGCCCACTCATGAGCTTGGAAATTAGCCCAAAACTCAACAAGTGACTATCAATATTAATTGAGGAATGAATGACTTTACAGGAGTTGGAACATATAACCTCCTATACTAATACGAAGTTAAATCCACCATTAAACTCTAAAGCTGTTATGGTACCTATCATCATTTATTCATAGCCCTAACCAGTATAGGCTAATGATCAAATTCAGACAAAATCGTTACTATTCTTAGCCTAGAAAGCCCACCACAAAGTTTCAGTAATGAACGCACGGAATACCATATCAAGTACGAAGCTTAAACTATTCCCAAAACTTGTACGAGCAGATTGAGGAAAAGGCAATAGCAATTAGACTTAGGAGCGATTGACCTAGAAGAATCGAGCTAGTGCAGAATCAAGCATGGGTTCGCAATGGATCTTCAAAAATCCGACAAAACAGTGTTCAAATCTTGATTGTTTCCAGAGAAAATCACAAAGAAAGCCCGAGAAAAAATGAAAATGAAACCTGCTGTGGCTGAGAAGATGATTTCGGATTCCATGGGAAGCGCAGAGTTTCACGCGGCTGAGGACGAACATAATCAGCTGTGAGAGTTGAGATGATCGAGACGAAGAGCAGGAGCAGTAGATTGGTGGCCTTGGCTTCCATTTTCACGCGAGTTGGTTCGGTTGCTTCATGAAATTTCAGAAGAATGAATAAAGGAGAGATCAAATCACCCTTTTTGAATTTGTTTTCTTTCGCAAAAGAAGAACATTAGTCAAAAAAGATTGCCATTTCTCTTTTTGTTTGCAAAGTAAAGTTTCGCCATTTCTCGTTCATACCTTACAAAGGTGCTAATTTATAACAACTTCTTGCAGTTAAATTTTGGTTTAAATACTATTTTGCTTTCGAAAACCAATCGACCCATGCGAATCGGGTCAATAATAATCATGTGAAGGCCAAGTATACTAGACTCAATTTCCACAGTTTAATTTGACCAAGTATATTTGGACAATTTGTACCAGAGAGACAGCTAGTAATTAGGGCGCTTACTCCCTATGCCCGAATAGCAATGTACTCCACAGAATCACCCAAGACACTGTCACGCCTCTTTTTAATGCACCCCGACCCTTATGCAGCATTCCGTCCTCTGTATCTGCCTCCCACTCTATCAACTTTCCTTGCCCAATACATAAAAGTGAGAAAACTCTAATTTAGATGAGTCGAATTTTCTTGCACAATTCCATGTGAGAATTAGATTCACAAACTTTCAAGCAGAGACTCACTAGAGACTACTGCTTTTCTATCTTATTTGATATTCATTTGCTTCCACCTAAAATTATAATTTAGGCATTGTAATGCATTTCGTCGAACACCACACTAGTGCTAAATTTCTATGCGTAGGAATGAAGATGTACGTGGCACCTCCATGACATATATGTGCCGTTTATCTGAAAATCGTCATTAACAATTATATTTTCATCCCTAAACTTTCATATTTGTTTCATGAGTGATTGGTTAGACAAGTGACAATTACAATTAGAGCTGAACTAAATTGTCATTTTCGATAGAATAATTAATATTCTTTCTATTAGTATATTTGAATATATAATATTGCTTCTCCGTTAAAAATTAGAGTTCAATAATTTCGGCCTGCATAATCTACTAAAAAATAATAATAATCAATTTGTATAATATTTTATTATACGAGATTCAAACTATTCATTTATTTTAAGTTTTTTCTATCCTATTGAAAAAAGGCGATACAAACAATGCGAAGGATAAAAGAAAATAAACTACAATAAACAATAATCAACAATGTAAATCAAGTACTTTAATTAAAAAAAAAAAGCATATGTATGCTACGATAATATTATACTTTTTTTTGGTTGATTTTGAGTTTTTACCAACTTCAAATCTTTTTTAAGTAGAAGTTCTACTTTATTTCATAAATTTAATATATATTTTAAAAGCATAACAACTTTTCCTTTCTTTTTTTCAAATCTAACCTAAATTTTATTTTATTTTGGATCTGTCCTGTTTTGTAACGTTGCTTTTCAAAAATTTTAAATTTTATAAATATAATTTATTGGATCAATTCTGAAAATAATATAGTTTTAAAAACAAAATATAAGATTTAAAAATAATAACAAAATAAATATAATATAAATTAAAAAAATTACAAAAGTAAGTTAGACATCCAAACTCTTGACATAAATAAGTTGGATTTTGATCAAAGTAAAAAATCGCGTACAATGAATATGATTTAAATGTCAACACGTCATATATGAAGTTTTAGGTGTCAGCACATCATATATGGGGTGAATTTGAGAGTTGGGTTAACAAATTTAAGTTAAAATATAATATAGCGAAATATTTGTAAACAAAAAGTAGTTTATTTCTCCCTTTTATCCTCTTCCCCAACTTCCACATTTTGACATCAAATTCCATTTGAAGCATTTTTATTATTTTTATTTAGCTTGTGGCTTTCAACTGGATTGGAAACCACGTCGAACTACAACCAATGACTGCAATCACACCTATTGGTTGTGTTTTACCTCAAAATGGCTGCGATTTCACTACATTATTTTTAGAAATAGTTTCACACCTACATTATTTGTTTTAAAAAAAATCCATAATTTATTTTATACTATTAAATAATAATAATAAAAAACCTCCGAACTTTACTTTTATTTTAAAAAAATCTTTATCCTTTCAAAAATTTCAATTGAAATATACCATTTGAGCACTATTAATATTTTGAATAAAAGTCACATGGTAGAACTTGAAATGATGTAGCAATTCACCTCTCAATTTTATTATAAAAATCTTCTTCCTCCGCTCTCTATCCAATTTCACCCTAATTTCTCTTTTAAAAACAATAGTTTATCTAAATTTCTCCCCTCACACTTAAACGTAAACAAATTTAATTTTCAAGTTAGATTTTGTCCTGTCAAAATTTCCTTAAAAAATTTAACTAATAATTATTCAAAAGGTCGTTTTGAAATGTTTATAAAAATCTAGGCTCTAGCAGAAAACTTTTAAAAGAGATATATTTTGAAATAGTATTTTCTTTTTTAATTTGGTAATTTGGCCTTTATATAAATTTCTCAACGTTCATTTGGCTTGGTACATCTAGACGACGTCGTATAGTGCGTTCTTCCTCGTCGGAGTATTCCCGTCGACGACATAGCGCCGGCGAGAACGATGATTCTTTTTCGAAATCGGATCCGATTCGGGAACCTCAAAGACCCGCTAAATCGCATTCAAAGTCCTCGCCAATCCAAGCTTCTTCAAACCCTAGCAATGGCGGATGCTCCTCCCAATTCCCGAAGACCCGTTTGTCCATCCTGTTCGAAACCGGCCCGTATCTGTCTCTGTTCGCGACTCCGAAACCCCGGTCTCGAGAATTCCGTCGGGGTAACCATTCTTCAGCACAGTTTAGAGAGAAAGCACCCGCTAAATTCCGCTAGAATCGCAAAATTAGGTCTCAAGAATGTCCAAATCGCCACCGTCTCCGACGTTAATTTCGAGGCTCGCTTCACCATACGCGGAACGCAAGATTTTGATCCTGAGGAGAAATGTTGCTCCACAAAAGGTCAGAACGAGTCTCGAATTCAAATACAGAATCGGGATGGATTTCTACTTGGTGATGTAATAGATTCCGAATGCATAAAACCTGAAACTCCTGAAGCTGTAATTACTGCTACGATTGGCAAGTATGGCGTCGTTAACTCTTTCGATCACATCTGGATGCAGAAACCGAGCTTTCAGAAGCTTAAAATCGACGAGGTTTTAGCATCTCCAGCAATTCGGGCATCAGTAGCAAAAGGGTTCATCGTGAAGAAACTGCAGAAGCGGCTGCTGGATGGAAGCCAGGAGATGGAGGAATATGCTGAATTCGAGATTGAGATTCCTCCCAAGTCAGTTCTACTCTTTCCCTCTGAAAATGCTTTTACTGTAGATTGTGGTGTAGATGGTAGTGATTTTGATGTGAATAATTTGATAGTTTTGGATGGAACATGGGCAAAAGCAAAGAGAATGTACAATGAAAATCCTTGGTTGAGGCTTTTGCCACATCTGAAGTTGGATTTGGAGAAGATTAGCTTGTATAGTGATGTGAGACATCAGCCCAAGATTGGTTTTTTGTCCACCATTGAAAGCATTGTTTATGCCTTGAAGTTAATAGGAGATAACCCTGAAGGGCTGGATAGTTTGTTGGATGTTTTTGAGTCCATGATTGGAGATCAAAGGAGATGTAAAGATGAGAGGCTAAAAATGGGAAAAACTTCATTTGGTTCTTGATGAATATGTATAAAGCTAAGAGAAGGCGAAAAAGCGCTGCCAAGGCAGCATGAGCATGCTTCTATTGCTATGCAAACAGTACAGCAGGATAGTAGAGCTTTCATTCCCATTTGTCAATGAGGCGAGGCGAGATAATTGCTGTGCAAAGGTTTCTTTGGGCTAGACAGAGATTGGCCTTTGAGTGCAAAAGCAGAAGGGAGCATGACTACAAGACACGAAAGCAAGAGAAACCTTGTCGACCAATAGATGATTCGTGGAACTTTCACAAACCTTCAGCCATGTGTAATGGTGTGGTTACTCATCTTAATCATGATCTAGGCATGATCATACGAGTTCGAGTTCAATGATACGCGAAATCCTAGTGCACGAGACAACTTTGATGCGAGGTTAGCGCTAGCGTGCTCATATCATGAACTCAATCCGCTCTTTTCAAACAGCACCTTCCATCTAAAGTTATGGGAACAGTGGAGCCTAAAGGCTTTAACAGCAGTATATGTTTGCTTACTGGCTTCACTCCTGTTCAATCTTTCATCAAAATATCTGGCTCTACAAGATCACCAAATGTCTCACCTTGCTGCAAGTAATCAAAGCCTGAAAGGTCACGTTGTGTTGATTTGGTTTACAAGAAGCCATTTGAGTAGGTTAGAATAATGTGGCTAACAATTTTGCGTCGTGCGAGAGAATTTGGAAATCGTATTTTGAACTAGTATCCGTATTGAATGATTATCAAGGGTTAGATAGATTTTGAACTTGTATCGAAGGACTATTAGGAGATGATCAAATCGAATAATTTTCACTTTTTTGTTACTGAAAATACCCTATATAATATATATATATATATATATATATATATATATATATGCGTATGTATGTATTTTGGTGTTGTTCTCTTCTGAGTTAGTTTATGGTTTATTACAATTTTTTTTTTTTGGCTAATTTTGACACAATACAATAGATAGATATTTTTTTTTATGTTCATCAAATATTTTCATGGGTATTTCTTGAAAAACTAAGACCTAAACATTTTCTTGGCAATTAATGTCTCTTCATAAATTCACAATTTACAATGGAACAAGAGAAGGTGGAACAAATTCAAATTTGGGATGGAAATCTTAAATCAATTATTATACCTAATTAGCTTTTGGATTATCAACCAAAAATTCCACATTAGGGAACTTTTTCATATTATATACTAGACAATGTTGCACGTTTATTTCTTTCATTTGATTCTTAAAGATGTTCGTACTTTCATAATGCTATTGGTATACAAAGGAAAAAGACTATTTCATCCTTTTAACTTAGTTAAAAAATATGTCGTTAGCCCACATGAACAACGTTGGATGGTTAACTTAAAGATATTTCTACTTTTTTAAAGGTGGTGTATTCAAACTTTCCCCTCATAGTTGTACAAAGATAATCTTAAAAAAAAAAATTGTGAAGGCATAAAATATTGACCTCTTAATATAAAACCAAAAATTAGTTATTAAATCATATAAATAATTGTTTTAGTCTATTTACCATAGGTTCAAATGATTGGGTTGTGTACTAAAAAAAATTATTGAGTTTTCGTTGTATATAAAATATCTATAAAGGTCACTTTTAAGTATATAGAGTAAAATAAATGTTTTAAAAGTAAAAATACTAAAATAGATCAAATATGAAAGTGCAAGGATCAAAATGGAGTAAATTAAAAAAAATGTAATTTTTAAGAAATTGCGTAAATGATGTAACTTTCAAAGTAATAACAAAATAAATGTAAATTAAATGAAAACTCTCAAAACTAGGGTGTATAATGCATATCCAAACTATTCACAAAATACGTTAGTTTGTGGTCGAAGTCAAGAATTGTATACATTCAACACGATTTAAAGGCGTCACGTATGGAATGACGTGTGAAGCATGAAGGCGAGTTAACACGTAAATCTCATACCTTGTATGCAAAATAAATGAAATTGCATGCAACGTAGGTATATAATTTAGTGCTATGAAATATTTCTATAAAATGCACATGATTTATCTTTACACTCTACGTCTCTCCAACTGAAATAACGAATGATTTAAGTATATAATTTAATGCTATGAAATATTTCTCATTAAAAATGGTAAATTATAAAATTGGTCCCTTTGGGTTAGACATATTTTCAATTTGGTCTCCATGATTTTAAAAGTTTCAATTTAATTCTTATGATAAAATTTTCATTCCGATCCTCATGGTTTAGTCAAACTTCACAACTTTATCTTTGCCAATACCACATTGTCGATTTTTTTTATGCAACAACTATCTTAATATTTTTTACTTGGCTAATCACGCTACGTTGGTTAACTCTATTGAGATTTAGTGCTTAGTAAAAATTAGAATGAAATACCTGAAATTTTTAAGAACGCTGGTGAAGTTTAATCAAACTATAGGGACTAGATTGAAAATTCAAAAACTAGAGGTACCAAAGAAAAATTATTGGTCTAGAATTAGATGGAAATGAAATGTTATTGGGTGGGGAAATGCACTTTCAAACGTAAGATGACGAGAAAATCATAGTCAAAATTACAGGGAAAAACGAAAATCTGCCGTTCTGCGACAAGGAAATCTCAAATCTCAGGCTTTGTATCCACATATATAATTGCCCAAAATTCTCGCCCAGCCCTTGAATTTTGTAACAGAACCCTCTCTTCCCTCCCTCGAATTTCCCCCTTTCCCTCACACTCTAACTTACGCCCAAAGCTTCTCCCTCTGATACCCTTTTTCGTCTCCGATTGTCGGTCGCCGGAGGTATTTTCAGCTGCCGTGAGCTTCTGAGAGGCCATCCTCAGGTGGGTCTTCATGGGTTTCATCTGATGTTTCTCTATTGATTAGTGTGAGTGACCAATGTGTGAGTTCTTTTATCGCCACTTGGGAATTCTGATTTTTCTTGGCAGTCAATGCAATGCATCAATTTGTGAATTTAATGAACCCCCTTCTTGTAGTATTTTGATGTGCTTCTCATAATCTTGTTAGGGCTGTTTGTATGGAACAATAGCGTACCTATGTGATGAGGCTTTATGGTTAATGGCCAAGAATTTGAAATGCTTGTTTCACCGTTACGATTGTATGTCAATTCCAAATTACTTATCAACGATTTGGAGATTGTTTAATAGTAGCACTAACTTGAATCTTTGAGATTCCCGAACTGTGTTATTTGATGCCGGAATCAACTGTGTCTTTTGTTGTGAACTGGCTTGTTTTTAAATTTTGAATATTGCGGTGAATCTCTGCCTCCATCTCTGACCCTTGTATAAATGGAAATGCCTTTAGAGGTGAAAAACAGGGGATCCACCTGCCCTATCCTATCACTCCTACTTATGAAATAGATTTATTATTGTTCTTGTTGTTTTTATGGGAGAGAGAAGTACATAAAGGGAGAAAAAGAAACCCTCATAACTAGCCAAGATTATTAAGAACTACCCAATTGCCTTTTATATCAAATAGTGCATAGGTGGCATACTTACAATTATATGACTGCTGGCATTGTTATTTTTCTTTACTTTGATAGTTTGATTATGTTCAAGTTGAATTCAAGCTTCTTTACCGATTGGTTCATCTCGTTTTTATGCAGTTATATTACGTGGTCATTAGTTTCTGGAGCATTCTTTTGGAGAACTTGGTGATTATTCAGTGATTCTATGAACAACTATTGACTTTTTTGGCAAATGATTGGGTTGAGAGTTATTTCTTTCAGTTTCTTTTGAAAGCTTATATAACTGACTAGTAGAGATGAACGTAGTGGGTTTTGATATTGGAAATGAGAATTGTGTCATTGCTGTGTCGAGGCAACGTGGTATTGATGTCCTGTTAAACGAGGAATCACAACGAGAAACACCCGCAGTGGTATGTTTTGGGGAAAAGCAGCGGTTTTTGGGGTCTGCAGGTGCTGCATCTGCTATTATGAACCCGAGATCCACAATAACTCAGGTAAAGAGATTGATTGGACGTAACTTTGGCGAGCCAGATGTTCAAAAGGATCTCAAAAGGCTTCCTTTTGAAACATCCGAAGCCCTTGATGGCAGCATTTTGGTTCACGTGAAACACTTGGGGGAGACTCATACATTTACTCCAGTTCAGATCATGGCAATGCTCTTTGCAAATTTGAGAGACGTAACAGAGAAAAGTTTGGGAACACCATTTTCAGATTGCGTTATTGGCATTCCATCGTATTTTACAGATTTGCAGAGACGTTTATATTTGAATGCTGCTGCTATTGCTGGTTTAAAGCCTTTGAGACTCATGCATGACTGTACTGCAACCGCACTTAGTTATGGAATTTATAAAACCGATTTCTCAAATCCAGGTCCTATATACGTTGCTTTTGTTGATATTGGTCATTGTGATACCCAGGTCTCTATTGTATCATTTGAGACTGGACATATGAGGATAATGTCACATACCTACGATAGAAATTTAGGAGGGAGAGATTTTGATGAGGTTTTGTTCAGCCACTTTGCTGCGGAATTCAAGAAGCAGTATGATATAGATGTAAATTCTAATGTCAAGGCTTGTATCAGATTGCAGGCAGCTTGTGAGAAGCTGAAGAAAGTTCTGAGTGCAAATTTAGAGGCACCTCTTAATATTGAATGTTTGATGGACGAGAAAGACGTTAAGGGATTTATCAAAAGAGAAGAATTTGAAAATCTTGCTTCTGGGTTATTGGAGAGGATTAGCATTCCTTGTACCAGAGTCTTAGCTGATGCAGGATTAACTGTAGAAAAAATCCATTCTGTTGAGCTTGTTGGATCAGGGTCAAGGATCCCTGCAGTAACTAGGTTATTGACTTCTGTATTCAAGAAAGAACCCAGTCGCAAACTTAATGCTAGTGAATGTGTAGCGCGTGGCTGTGCTCTACATTGTGCGATGCTGAGCCCAGTTTTTCGGGTCAGAGATTATGAGGTGTGTACTTTGCCTGAGATTTTATAGCTTGCATTAGCTAGGCATGTGATGGGGATTTGAGAAAAGACGACCCCACCTCCAGTCATTCCATTTTTATTTTCATATGATGTGATGCTCTTTTAACTCTTTATACTAGCTTTGACCTAATTATAAATAAGAAGACTTGAAAAGTAACTGTCCCATTATTCTCCTTTAAAAAAGGGTGAAACATGGTCTTTCATTTTCTTCTTTTACATGTTTTTCTCCATCTACTTCTTTCTTTATACGCCATCTGTTCCTCTGGGTTGTAGTTGCATAAATGCTAATGAAATACAGTTGTTGAAATGCAGGTTCAGGATTCATTCCCTTTCTCCATTGGGTTCTCATCAGATGCAGGCCCAATTAGCTTGGATTTAAATAGTGTACTATTTCCCAAAGGCCAGCACATTCCAAGTACTAAAGTTCTGTCATTCCAGCGTGCCAGTTTATTCCATTTAGAAGCCGTCTATACTAATCTGGATGAACTACCTCCTGGCACGTCTTCAAAAATTGGCTGTTTTACAGTATGTTCAGTTTTAAGCTTTATTTTTATTTTTTGAAGTAGTTGTTAGCGTGGAGCTGGAAAGCTCTTGAACTACTTTAGAGAGTGTCACTCTTAACATGTTTCTGCTCCTAGTTTGGCATTCTCTAATTTCTATTATGATGGGTTGGAATTGATTCTTAGATGTGAAGTAATTTGAGATGCAGATTGGTCCGGTCCAAGGTTCTAACAACTCGAATGCAAGGGTTAAAGTTAAAGTCCAGTTAAATATGAACGGCATCATTACTGTTGAATCAGCTATTGTAAGTAATATATATTTTTTCCATCAAATTTTCTAACTATTTAAGAGACTCCTCTTTATTGATATGAATTATGAATTTAGTTCGTAGAGGATAATGTAGATGAACAAATACCAAAGAGAGATGCTGCTCATTCAAACACAGAAAAAATGGAGACCGAGTTCGAGGCTTCTTCCTGTTCCGAGGTAAAGCTAGATGGTGTTATTGCAATCCCTTACAGCACTCAAAATCTTCACATGCATCAAAAGATTGTTTGCTGTTAATTCTGTAATTTGAATCAAGTTTCTGATAGAAAACCTTATACTATGTTTCTCTTATCTCCCAAAATTTTCCTTGGAAATTTGTCTCTATCTCTTTGTTTGTACTTCACTGAGATTTGCTGCCTTTAACGTATTGATTTATTGCATTTTTCCAGTCTGATGTTTCAAGAAAAGCTAGGAGCACAAGGAGGATTGAGATACCAGTTAGTGAACACATATATGGTGGAATGACCAAGGCTGAGCTCTCAGAAGCCCAAGAAAGAGAACTCCAACTTGCCCAACAGGATAAAAATATGGAACAAGCTAAAAATAAGAAGAATGCTTTAGAGTCATATGTCTATGAGATGAGGAATAAGGTAAAGGATCTATTTTCATGAGGCTTAAAGCACTTTCAATCTTCCTTTATGATGCCATTAACACATTCTGTTTCGAGTCATGCGGCGAAGTCATTTAATGCTCACTTTACACCTGATAACTTTGGGGGGTTGTAAAAATGTTTGCTGCCACACCTCTTCTAAAATAAAATTCTTGATTTCCAACATGTGAGCATGAAGCATAATTTAGATTTAATGGACTTTCCCTTTTAGTAAGGCTCTATCAACATTCAGACTTTTGTTAATTTTGATGATATCTCGAGGTAGGTTTTTAGTCTCATCTCATGCATTCTAATCACTATTCCTATCAATGTTTGATTCTTATTATATTATAAGAAAAATGATGATGCTTAGAGCGGTTTTCTAATAGCTTTTCAACACATATCGGAGTTTCGCTAGTGACCAAGAGCGAGAAGGCATCTCCTCAAGCCTCCAGCAAACAGAGGAGTGGCTATATGAGGATGGAGATGATGAGACAGAGAGTGCTTATTCTTCTAAGTTGGATGACCTTAAGAAGGTTATTTCTATTTGTTTTGTATGATACAAAGTTAATTCACATTTTCTGATTTCAAGTTCTCTTCTCCTTGCTTACTCTACTCTACCATTGTTCTTTCTTAGTTGGTGGATCCTATAATTAACCGATACGAAGATGAAGAAGCAAGAGCACAAGCTAAAACACATCTGTTAAAGCGTATTTCCGATTATAGGAAAACTGGGGATTCACTTTCGCCTCAAGTTCGAGCATTGGTAATAATGCTAATGATCTCTAATGTTACTAGTAATAGTTGGTTTTGTTTGAATTCTCTCTCTCATGAACTTTTCCCTTTTCTCCAGATCCTCGATGAGTGCAACAGAGCAGAGCAGTGGCTAACAGAGAAAAGCCAACAACAAGAGTTGTTGCCAAAAAACACTGAACCTTTGTTATGGTCAAGTGAGATCAAAACTCGGGAAGCGGATTTCGACAAGTATGGCATTTCTCTATTTGATCTTTTTGAAATCTAACAAGTTTCTGTAAGTTTAGACTAATGGTAGAGAAGTTTTCCCAACCTTGATTTTATTGAGAACGTTCACTCTCTAAAGTACTACACTTGTTAACTGTATCTTGCAAGTGAAACTAATCTGGATGATCATTTCGGCCATCAATTTTAAGATTAGATCTTTCTAGTTATGCCAACCCATTAGAACCGAAGAAACGCTGTCGCTTGTTATCTGCAGCCTTTTATTTCATCCAGTGGCTTACAAATGTTTTGCTTGAACTGCATTTCAGGAGATGCCAGAGAATCTTGGATCCTATGTCTTCTCAGTCACATTCAGGAGATTCCAAGGAACCAAACCATCAAAATTCTTCTGACAATCATTCTTAAAAGGCAAAAACATTGATTTTTCTTAGGATTGATCAAAGATTATGATTATTGTTCCTCTCACAAAAGTGGATCATATCTCTTGCCACTGTTGCTAAGTCAGAATGAAGGAGGTGATGACAGATCCAAGTATTAACCAAATCGGCTCATGTTGTCTTTT